TTAGTTAAATATAAACATAACTTCTAGGATTTATTGATCTTTACTTTGTAGAACAATAAATCAACTCAATAACTAGTAATACAAAAACAAAACTCACTATGATATATCGATCATGGTTTTTTTCTTCTCACTAAAAACCTAAAAGATTCTTCGAGATCATATATATATATATGTTTTCAATAGTTAACACAAAAGCAAAGAACGTAAATAAAACTGGATTTCCCACTGTCATTATCATAAAGAAGATTCTGTTGGTCGTTCTTATCATAACCCTCGCGAGTCATGTGAATTTAGATTCGGTCGCCGAGAAGCACATCCGTTTAGTCTCGTTTCCCTAATTATATTGAATTATTAGTCTAGTATACTACGCATCTTTTTCGGAAATTTTTATTTTCCATCGTCTCAGTCATTGAATTAATTATTTATGTTAACTTATATTCAATTAATCACCCTTCTTTACATATTGCAGTCATCGATATATGTCGAAAGAGATCATTTTCAACAAACAGAAGTCTATCTATTAAATAATGAAAACGATAAACAAGAATTATAAACTGAAAAAGAATTGACATCGATTCGAATTATTTCATATTTTACTTTCAAACAAACAGATACAACGAATATGACATGAAATGGTTGGGAAAAAAATTATGATAGTCCACAATTGGATTTAGATGCTGTTCGATATGCTTTGGCTCACATCAGTTATACAGCAGCAACATTAGCTTATAGAACATCAAACTCTCAAGCATTGATAGTCAAAATGTTGAGAAATACAATAGAACGTATATGGACAATGAAAGCCTGGAAATATATCGATTTTTATTGGAAGGATACAGCCACGTTTTCTGACCCTGTTTCGTTTGAAAATATCATGTACATTAGTCATTTATTACAATTGTCAACACTTTATGAAAGTATTTCAGTTGATTTCACGTACGATATTGATGAATTTTATTTCATATGAAATAAAAATAGTTGTCCAATAGCTGAAAATGCATAATACAACAACAAAAAAATTAGCATATGTTATTTATTATCAAATGGATGAGGAATCATCAGTTGATGTTTCGTGGGAACCATCTTTGCATCGAGAGGTGATGATGGATGGAGTCTGGCATGGATGCCATCATGGTTTGATCATAATGAGATATCGAATTTTATATGTATTGGTTGCGAAGTCATGTATAATAATAAATATTGGAAACAATCGAAAAATTCATAAGATGAAGGTTGCTTTTTAGATAGTGGTGGTTATATTGATGTTCGTATGCAACGCAATAGTTGGGTTGCAACATGATTTTATCCTACTATAGAAAAACAATTTTCAATTGAAATAACAAACAAAATAAAATTGTATGTATTCATAGTTTGAAAATAGTTTTGGAATTTTGTTAGATACTGATAATGATCAGTACTTTGAATCATATTATTATGAAACCAATACATTCTATTCAAATTGGGTTACAACAAATATATTACTACTACTATAATTGATCAAAATGGATACCATACAACATTTTTTCTGAGATATATAATACGAAATCTTATGAAAAATTAAATTATGAATCAGAGGTCTATTTGTTGAATATTCATTAGTACGTGTCATGGATCCTGATTTTTTTCTTCAAAAATTTCAAATGTTACACATGATAATGTCTCCGATGGTTTTACAATAAGTCAAATTTCTAATGATGGAATATCTTTTGGATATACGTATAAAACAATCGATGGACAAGAAACATAGTTCAGTATTTCATTCTATTAGAACTGTTTGATATTCTAGGTCAGTAAATTGGCAAAAAAAAAACTACTTGAATCCTGATCTAGGATATCTTAAATATTTTTGTTTTGACTTTAGTATTCATAAATATGAACAATGACAGTAAGTTCAGTTTTCGTTTAACAAATCACGATAAGTACCATAGATAATAATTCAACATGCATACACAGGAAAATAATTCAAATTTTTTATATATACGGTTGAAAATAAAATTAATTCATATAACTGTTCTATTGTCGTTAAAGGCAGAGCAAGAAAGCAAGATACATGCATTGCAAGATTTCTATAAATAAAATAGTACTTTTCAGTTGTCTGAATTGCTTACTATTTTTACCTCAATCAAATTAAATATTTTGAACTTCACGAGCAAGTTCCATAAATATTATTGATGAGACAGTAGCCTTAACAACGACAAAATCGAGCTTTCGCCCGTTTTATTCACTTTTACTACTGAAAACGATTAAAATGCATTTTGAACAGCTTCTTCAATATAACATCATTTTGTATGACTACAACCCATGTAAAGTTTTATAGGGCCTAAACGCGTTTTCAGGCGCGTCTTAGATGCGTTGGAACGCATCTAATGGATTAGACGCGTGAGAACGCGCTCAGTAATGAGAACGAGTCCAGACGCGTTTCGAAAAATTTCAGAAAAAAAACATCTTGTTCTCGCAGATTCGAACTGCGGCACCATCAGAAACCACTTGATGGTCAGCTCTATCCTAGAAGCATAGTACCGAACAAGTTTCTTTTTATTTGTGACATGTAGATGACAAGTGCGATGATATACGCTTGAACAGAAGAACTTATTAAAGAACAAGCTACTTATGTATGAGCTATACCTGCTCGTAAGAGTGTATTCTCGACAAAGATATCTATGTAATTGTTTCTTATAACACTTAATTTCGAGGCAGAATTCAATCGATTATAAAAATATGTGATTATTTTTTATGCTAGCTTTTTTTTAAATAAAAAAAACAAATCGTTTGTCTCGAATTACGCGAAATTGAAATTTTATTTTTTAACTCAGTAGATGTATTTTTTCGAAACACTTTACCATAGTTTTGTTCTCTTATCAATGAATGAAATAAAATCAGAAAGAACTTTTAAAAAAATCGAATGTAGACAATTATTTAGCTCGCTTGTATTTATATATTTAAAAAAAAGATGGATAAATAAAAGAAAAATTTTATCAAAAAGCTCATACTTGAGTCATCCAAGTGGCTTTACGAAACTAAAAGATAAAAACAAGTCTCATCATATTTCACGTAAGACAAGAAAAATATAACAAACTATTGCAATGTAAAATATAACCTTCATATTTCCAAATATAATAATATGGAACTCAACTTAGCACATTCTACTTAATGGTATAAAACAAAATATGGCTAAACATTCTAATAAACCTATTCATTATCAGTGTGAAGTAAGATTATTTAAACAACATCTAACGACATAAGATCGAGCCAATTTACAATAATATTTATCCATTTGTATTATGAGTTTGGATAAAAAGTCTATAAAAAAAAATAATAAATGACGCTTCCTTTCCTCCTCAAATATAATAATATTCGTTGTCTTTTATAACACATGGTATTCATTGAGTTTTATATATTATCATTAAAATAATATAATACGTATATTTTTTACTTAGTTTGTGTATGCTTATAGAAGAAAAAAGATATAAGAGCAAAAAAGACACTTTTAATTTCTAAGTGGGCTACTGTAGTTGACTTACATCACAAATCTAATCAAGAAAAAAAAGGTAAATGAAACTAACCAAAAACAATTAAGACGAAAATATTATGAATCTAAAATGATATCAAATGCAATCTAATATTGTCAACTACAGCAAGATGAATAATAGCTAAATATGGAAATATTGTGTATGATCAATATATATTAGAAAAATTAAGCATTGACCAAAGTCGACATAAAATTGAGTTGGATCACAATAATAAACTTGAATCTATATTTTTATTTTATAAAATCAATAAAATCACATTTAATTAAAAAAATTATGCTTTTTTTTCAACTCAGATTTAATTATAATCACCATCCCATAACTTAGATAGCATTCTTTTAGTTTTATCTATAATCTCAAAGAACAAAGGTGAATGTAAAAAATTCATGTAATTCATGGTATTTCATGCAATAAAAAAAGACTAGAACAAAAGCTTGAACAGTTATATATTTATTGATTTGATAACTTTCATATCATAATCTGGCTTAGTGATTATTGCTTTGGTTTAACTGGATCATATATCATCTTTAGTCAATCTTAAAATTATACTAATACATATTGAATATATATAATAGTTTCATATTCATTCATAATTCATACAGTTATATGTTAACACTATCAAGTTGTATTTTATTTTTTTCAGTTTCATAATAGTCTCGGCTTAATTATTCTTTTTTTATAACTTCGTTGTTTTTTTTTCTTTTGATTTGATTTATATAGTCTAACAGTGCAATTTTCAAATTCTTATGCATCAATTGGAAAATGAAGAATTTCTGTTTTCTATTCGTGTATTCTTTTTCTTGTATAAACATCTGTAGAAGAAGTAGAATATTCAAGTTTCATATTTTTGTTTTACATAGAACTACGTAAAACTTTAAGAATGTTTTTATTATATTCTTTGTTGATATGAATTAGATAAATCTTTAAACACGTACAGTTGCAACTGTAAACGAATTTGAGTCATCAGAAACAGGAGTGAAAGCTTTTTCTAAAGGACAATGTATAAAGTGTGGATTAGAGAAAGAAAAATAATAAACGTAACAATGTATATTCTGCTCATTATTTATTTCGTGATATAAAGATTTTTCGTTTTCATAGTATTTATTAGTAAATATATCGTTAGATGTGTTTCATAGAATATTGCATAAAAAATGTTTTTGTGCTTCAAATATGCTGTATGTGCCTATAGTGATTCATCAATAATGTTTTCGTAGCCTAACCAAGTAGTGGCGCAACTTTTTCTTAGATGTCCAATATCTGGACATTCTTTTATTTTCAGTCATAACACATGATAACGATTCTCCCATTAAGAAAGAACAATGACTAAAATAATTTTATTTATTTCTGTCTTATGATTGCTTATCCTTTATCACCGGAATTCATTACAGAATCAAGTTAAGAATTTAGTTTTTTGCTCAAATTTTTAGACTATGCAACGATCCAAGTCTATTGAAAGCTTTACTTGAGTAACATTAGCAGAGATATGTTCTTACAAACACTTTTCAATATTAAAACTTTCGGTTGTATGAAAAAAAATCAATCAGAAGAACTTTGGATAAGAGCCTTATCTTAAAAACCTCTTGTCCAACAGTCATTATATAATTTCTCTGAATAACCGTTCGAAAGCATTTCATTCTAAATCTATACTATAAAAATTCATGCCCGCATAGTTTCTATGAAAGGAAAAAGAAGTTCTCTCAAATAAGCAATTTTTATATCCAAAACAACAAGAAAGTTATTTTTATTAAAAACAGCAGCAATGATGTTAGGGTGGGTGTGGGTGTGATGAAAATATCAACACACAACCACCAGCACTCACCCTCACCCACCCTCACACCCACACCACCCACACCCTTCATAATTATCTAGTTCTTATATTCTATGCATATGACATACTAGAGCGCCATCTTCTAAGACAAGTGTAGTTTATACATATTTAATTCACAACCAATTAGTGTTTTCGGTTTGCAATTCGGCCAATTATTATTACCCGATCAAAATATTCTTTATCTCTTTCACTCACTGTGTCAATAGAAACATTCTTATTGCAAATAATGTTCATTCTATAAATCAGGCGCGAAATAATTCATCATTAATTTATTCGTATCATATAAAGCTAGTCAAAACAAAATAGTTCAATAATCACAAAACAAAAACAAGTCAGATGGCCGACGGTGATACAGTCGATTTTAAAATAGCATTTTTCCATAAATTTAAATCGTTAGAATGGGATTATTTGACATCATTATCAAATGACGAGAAGAAACTTCTCAGCTACAATGGTCGGCTAGAAGATTATCAGCCATCTCATTTGCTTGAATGTAAGTAATTCATTTATCATTATTAAAATTGTGAACTCATATACAAATTATCTGGCCTTCTGTGCGTTCATTCTTATGCAGGAGAGAAAAATTGTAACCACTTTTAGCAAAACCAGTATGAATGTGATCAGCTAACTCTACTGTAGAGTCTTGCAGCCCTACCCCACTCTACCCTACCCTATACCCTAGCCCTACCCTAGGGTAATGTTAGGGTAGGGCTAGGGTATTTTTTTCAAAACCTTTAGAGTATTCTAAGGTGTTCATCAATTGGAACAAACTGATTTCTAGTAATATAAATCATCAAAAATCTCTCCAAGTCCATAATGATATCAAAGATCTCGAAAAAATGATCAGAAATGTTCAGAAAAGATCAGAAATTACTGAAAAATAACTAAAAATCATTAGTAATATATTTAAAAGTTAAGAGTCGATCCCTATTGATTTCTGAATGA